CTCTCAAACTTTTAGTTTTCGTTTTTAATCTCCACACTAAATGAATATCCGACTGTCTGTGTTTTCTTCGACCCTACAAATCCGCAAAGGCGACAGGAGCGCAAAGGTCTGAAATCAATGAAACAAAGTTGGGCTGCCTGCCATAACGGCGGTGTTTGTGTACTTCTTTGTCTATGCATGCCTCATGACTTAGTGTCCCGCCTTCAACTTCACCGGCAGCATGCGAAAAATCACTGCAATACTCCTGCAGTAAGTCTGCAGGGACCCTGAACACATCTGTGGTGTTCAAAGGCGCGTTTGTATGAATTAAATGGTATTTTTATCTGCTGTGCTTTCTGTGTGATATTATATATGATATAATATTCCCATAGGGAAACACGGTGTATGAGCTCAGCAGTTAGCAGTGATCTCCTCTCACTTTATGCTTTATTTATCTTATGTGGCATCACCGCAATAATCCTGGACACTTTGATGTAATACTTTTGTAGTAATGCTCCAGGTTATTCTTGCTCTGTCATAGAGGAAATACACACTGTAGCCCAGGGACAGTCTGTAGTATGACACAGTTATTCGAGGCTTGTAAATAGCTTAACATAACACTATAAAAATGTTAAAAGTCAAACATAAAAATGACACAGATAAAACACGATACACATTATTATAAATCTGTTAATATATCAATATGTCAGTCTTAAAAAATCCATTCCAATTACAAACCAAGTCACACAAAAATAAAGTCTTACTAATACTGGAATCTTGCAGCAGTATAATTTTCTTCCTGTGCTCTGTTTGAGACAGTTTGCATGAATTGTGCGAATGATTCCTTTGTTGTTATCTTGCACTAACACTTTGTTCAGCCGGACACAAAAGACAATAAAATAAAATCAGTTTATTCACTGTCTGAAACAAGCTTTTGATTTATTTGCTTTGGAGTACCTTATAAACTTGCATTCCTTCTAACAGCCAGCAGGGGGGCGAGAAAAAAATTAGCTGTAGATGTCTACATGGAAGACACTCCTCGGCTCTCTTGAGTAAACAATTATCTGGTGGATTTATTATCTCAAGTGATGTTCACTTTCTTACTTTCCATAAGGAGGACAAAGCAGGTCAGGCTGTGGGACTTGCTCTTTGTTAGTTTAAATGTTGTTACTGAATAAGTGGGCAGTGTCACTTGGTTTCACAGCTACATCTGTCCCATGAGTGTCGCTGCCCAGTTTCAGAAAACAAAGATGGGGACAGTGAGGATGCTCACAACGGGGGAGTTAAAGAATGACTTTAACTAACGGTATGGTAGTTATGCCATCTTTTAAATACAGTCTATGCTTAATACACTTTTAGATCAAGCTGGGTAAGGCTTTACAAAAGTGTCACAAGAGAAATGAGAGGGACTGGTCAGGTAAGAAAGTTTAGTGGACAAACTTCTCTTTGCTGGTACATTTCAAAGGAAACATGGCAAGAAGGCCCTAACTAGACACCAATATTGTCTACTTTTAAAAGCAGAAAACATTCAGTGATGGATTTAGCCATTTATTTTCTAAGCTTATATGTTCTACTGTGTGTGTGTAAAAGCTGAATCTGAAACTTTACAGCTATTTGTCAAAGAATTGCAGAAGAGTAAAATATTTAGCCTTGAACTGGGCTGCACTTCCAATCTCATCAACCGCTCAGAGGGATTTAATTACAAACCACATTCACCCATTCACACACTCACATTCATGCTCAGCTTTTCATACACCCAGCAGTTTCTCAATCGCAATATAAAGCAGGAGAAAATGGAAAAATTCAGGTAGTTGTTCTCACGTAGTGACATTTGGCTCCCCGGATTCTTTCCTGTCACATGTGTAAGAAATGTTGAGATTGAGCACAGAGGCAAAAACATGAAACAATTTCATTTCATATCGTGCTTCAATCATGTGATGATTTTATAAAATAAAAAAATAAGAACTCATTAATAAAGGGTTAAAAATGTGTACCTTTGTTCAGATGGCTGGTATTTTATTGTTGGCCTGTATTTGAAGCAGTCACGGTCACTTGATCTTGATGGTGTCTGACACACTCAGGTTAACAGAGGAGACAAACAAACTAGTCCGCACTGACCCTCAGTATGTGTCTTTTTCATCCCCACACTCTGAGGACCAGACTGAACTTTTTTTCCTCTTTCTGAAACAGAGTGAACACCTCAGACAACACCTCACACACCATTTCCACAGTAATGTCAAGCTTATTGCAGACATCCCGGGAGCCAGTGTCTCATCTTTGGGATGGTGCGCTGCCTGTAATGGCCATGCCTTATCTCCCTCTCAGTACCCAGGCTGAGATGTCAGAGGAAAGCCGGAGACGACCATGCTCCCCTGACAGAGGAGGGGAGATGGAAATAATTACCAATGTCTCTTGTGGAAAAGGGCGTAAATTGATACACACTAAATGCTGAACCTTAGGGGTCTCTCTTGCTCTCTCTCCATGTGTGGCTCTCTCTCTCTCTCTCATCAGATGTAGGAGACAAATGAATGCATCCAGAAGGAATTAATTGGATTTGGGAGCAGTCTCCTGCACAATCCACCAGGACAGACAAACATCCCCCTTCTCTACCCTCTCCTTCCCTCCCCCCCTTTGGCACACACACACAGACACATGCCTCCTTTATTCCAGTCATGCCTTGCAGAAATGTCTGCCACCCCCCTTTATCCCCCTCCCACCACCCCACTCTGATGGATCAGTCTGTGTCCCCTTATCCATCTCACACACACACACACACACACACACACACGGGCGAGTGCCGTACTGCTCCCCAGTGGATTGCAACCTCTCTCTTGGATACAGTGTTTCCATGGCAGCCACGTTTTTTGCACGTGCAGAATGAGATGGAGTAAGCGAGAGAGAAGGAGACCACTCCTATCGATTCACTGGGTGCCTATTGATTCACTGTCTGCAGCTGCACACTTACCTACGGCAAACACCCCCGTGAGCTGCACACATGTTCACGCACGCTCATGCTCAGACAGGATGTAAACACCAGATTGGAGATTTTGGAGAGCCTGCTGTCAGCTAACCACACGGCGGTGCTTATGTTTGTCCTCTAGGAAGGTACGAACTATGTAAAATCTAGTAAACTTGTATATACACAGACGAGAAACATTTTCAGTTCCAGCTGATTTTATTTCCTTCTTGGAAGAAAATAAAAAAAATAAAAAACAACAATCTGTACAGAGGTCTGAGAGGCAGTGATTGACCCAAACATTGGCTGGTTTTTGAGCATAAAACATCAGATATTGGCATGATTGGACAAAACATGATCATACACAGCATATTGCACAAATGAAAGAAAAAAAAAGGACGCTAGAAAAAAAAAATCTTTAAAAGAAAATTAAGAAAAGAAAAAATAAAAAAAGAAAGGAAAGAAACTCCTGGACCACAATCATCTTCAACATGTCCAAAGATGGCTGTCCTAGTGCCTGTCAATCATCATCATCATACATAAAAAAAAACACACACAATCTTTGCTTATAGTACAGTCAGTTTACATAAATATTTCGTTATTATTCTTTAAAAATCTTAAACACAACAGCTATAGCTACATATACCTGAATCTGAAATACAAATGCTATTTGCCATGCCATAATATAGGAAAACAATTAGCCTGCTATACTTAGCCAACAGGTACAGAAAGGTTAAATACTATTTTTTTTTCAATGCAATTTGCGCAATAACAGATGAAGCACTTCATACATCTCCCCTCCCTCCAAAAAAGTCTAGGCAAAAAGTGGAATGAGTGTGAAATTCCATCCAGTGGTTCAAATAAAACTTATCTCCATAATTTAAAAAAAAAAAAAAAAGCACACAGAGGTATTAGCTCTATCCAAACAGTGACTCTCTGGGATCTTTCGTGCCTAAACTTTCTTTTAGGTCTGTGTTGTACTGGAAACACAGTCACCACTCAGGCTGGGAGCCTCAGTGGCGCTTTGTTTACTTCGCTGGTGAAGCTGGAGTCACTGTGCCATTAAGAAGCATGTGGGTAAATACTGTAAACACTGTGAGGTCAGATTGTGCCAAACAAACCCCCCACCCCTCCCTCTCTCTGCACGACTAAAACACCAATGTAGATCCAAACAACAATGTTGTAGGCTACCCACTCGCCGGAAGAAGAAAAAAAAAACGTCCCCCTCCTTTTTTTCTCTATAGATTTTGTACAAAAATACAAGTAGAAAATCATGACACACTCAAATCTCCATAAAAGTGAGAGAAGTCGGACATTTTTTTGTTGTTTTGTTTTAAATAAGATACACTTCTAGCCCTTCCGCGCTGGATACAGACAGGTGTTATGTGCACAAACACAAACGAGACCTGTACGAGAACAATACTTCTATGTATAAAAAAGTTTGGCCGGTATAAATACATCGATATAAAAAAAACCGTCATCTGACACAGAGAAACTACAAAGTTGAAGCACTAGGCAGAAAGAATGCGCGTCAGGGGGAGAGGAAAAAGCATTGGTCCTGAATTGTGCACTGAGTGTTTTAAAAAGTGTTCAGAAAAGGGGCTTCTGAAGTTTGGAGTCAGTCTATGTTTAAAGTCCTGCCGTTGAAAGAGAAGCTGGTGATCGTGAATTGAGTCCTATGGTCACACAAATTGCGTAATTACGCAGCAATGAACTTTTTTTCTTCCTTTTTACGCATTTAAAACAACAACAAAATCCTCCTCAACGTGGAGGGCATGCTTGCTGATATTAAAAACATTTCTAGTTCGGAAAAAAAAACTACACCTGAATAGCAACTCGATGGTCAATGTGAATTGGCTATCTTTAAACAAACAAATAAAAAACCCCAACACGACGAGCTCTCCAGTAAGTGTCCCGACCTCAAAAATAACATTAATGTTTAAATGTTCAGTCTCAGTCTTCATCCTGTGCGGATTGGGTTGAACAGTCGAGCTCGAGTCTGTATCACTGGTCTCTGCTTACATTCACTCCTCCTCTGAGTCCAAATGCAAACTAAGCACCCCCCCCCCTCCTCCCCACAGGTCTGCGCGTTCCCGTCAAGCGCACGGAGCGCAGTTCCAACAAGTCTGTGAGCAGCGCGTGCCTGGGCTTCAACGCGCACACAGGCCTACCCTTTTCTTTCCCGTTTTCACTCTCCCTCATTTAGTGAAAGAACAGCGGGAATCTTCTGGTGTGGACGCACACGCCTGTCTGAGGTGTCGGGTGGGGTGGGTTTGAACAGTTCAAAACGTTGCTGGGCGGGTGGTGGTGGGGCGGGCGTCGCGCTTCTCTCCCACCTTTCAGTAGGTGAACACCAAATTGGAGATGGTCGACTCCAGCCAGTCTCCTGAGATCATCTCGCTGACCTCTGGGGTGCAGTAGTCGGAGAAGTCGAAGTGGGAGCCCGCCCCGCACTCCCCGAAGCTCCAGTCCAAGTCCCGGTCCAGCTCCGCGTCGGAGAAGCCCATGCCGCCCAGAGACATGCTCTCAAAGCCGGGGCTCGGGTTCAGGTCGAGCCGCTCGTCTTCGAACTCTTCATCCGATGACGAGACGGAGGAGGAGGAGTGAGAGGCCGACGGTGTTGGAGAAGAAGGGCGGGTGTACCTGAGGCGCGCGGTGTGCGAGGTCTCGCTGGCCGCCGGGCTCTGCTCTTCGTACAGGCTGAGCGGGTCGCTGGACTCCGCCGAGCTGCTCAAGGCGGGACTGGCCGGGACTCCCACGGACGGAGGCCCGCTCTCCAGGCTGCCAGCCCCTCCGAACATGTGCGCGCGCCGAGCCTCTCCGCTGCGCTTCTCCGGGATCTGCCTGGCCCCGGACACTGACCTGGATTTGAAGAGCGACTGGTGGTCACCGGGAGAGGCGTAGTCCTGCGCCGCCGCGCTCCTCACGCCCCCCTGCTTGTGCGTCCTGCTCACTCCTTTGGACGCGGGGCTTCTCTTGACCCCGGACTTGGCGCCGCGCTCCCCGCTCTTCTCCCCGCGGTCCGCCTGCTTACTCGCCCCGCTCCCTGACTTCACTTTCTTCCTGGGCCGGTACTTGTAGTCTGGATAGTCGGCCATGTGTTTGAGCCTGAGCCGCTCCGCCTCACGGATGAACGGGATCTTGTCCGTGTCTTTCAGCAGCTTCCAGCGTTTCCCGAGCCGCTTGGAGATCTCCGCGTTGTGCATGTCCGGCGACTGCTCCATGATCTTCCTCCTTTCGATCTGGGACCACACCATGAACGCATTCATGGGTCTCTTGATGTGTCCCGTCGGAGTTTTGCACCACGCCAAGTCGCTCCGCTCCCGGGAGGAGGGGGACCCCGGGGTAGGAGACGCATCCATCTCCAGGTCCATCTCTCCCGTGTCCGTGGAGTCCCCGCCGGGGGAATGAGCGTGGGCGCTCTCTGTCTGGCTTATGTGCTGCACCATCTCTCTCCAAAGTGTCTGAAAACACCGCTCAGTGCTTTCACAAAGTTTTTCAAAAACGTATTCCTCACTTCTTGTTGGAGTCGGAGCACTGCTGTGAGCAGGTCTCTAAACAAAAAAAGTCCATCCAAGTCTGTCTCTCTCTTTTCAGTTCAGCACGCTTTGGAGACGCTCGGGTTTCTTAACTTTTCTTCTTCTGCGCTTCTCAGCGACAGTTTTTTTTTAACTAATAATCCGGAAACTAATTTTCAACTGCCTGTGCGGCTGAACACTCGCAGAGCAAGGCTGAAAGCGCGCCGCTGTGGGCCGCAGCAGTGCGAGTCCCTTACGTGAACCTGGCTGTGAGCAGCGCAGCTCTTCCGTGCGGCTGAGAGACCATGTGGCTGAATGGAGCTGCTGCGCTTTCTCATAGTCTCCCTGTTTCCCTGCGAGCTCCCTGATATTACTGTAAACACAACAACGAGAACCTCGCCCTTTTATAGCTTTATCGCGAGACGTGAGCGCCAATCAGCACCTGTCGCCATCCCGATTTTTGAGTCGGACCACTCCCACCTCCTCTTGCCATTGGCTGAATAAAAAAGAAAAAAAAACTGGTAATAATAATAATAATAATAATGTGCAATGAGGATCCGTGTGCCTGACCTCATTCCTGTCAGACTCCACTGAAGGAAGGCAAACTTGTGGTGTGTGTGTGTCCATATATATATATATATATATATATATA